AGTGCCTGGAAATCCCCATCCTGTCTGACAGGGACTGTAACAACTCCTATCCTGGAATGATCACTGACTCCATGTTCTGTGCTGGATACCTGGAGGGAGGCAAGGACTCCTGCCAGGTATGGAACAAATCAAATCTTTAGAGACTGCAAGCAAATTTAATTTGCAAATGCAGAAGATCACAAATTATTTCTCAATTGTAAATATTATTAAAATAATTTGTTTGTCTTTGGTGTCAGGGTGACTCTGGTGGCCCTGTTGTGTGCAACGGTGAGCTGCAGGGTGTTGTGTCCTGGGGCTATGGATGTGCTCAGAAGGACAACCCCGGTGTCTACGCCAAGGTAAAAAATATTCTCAATATTTTAGCAACAAAAACAGTATTTTATATCATATATATTGGAGACTATCGTACTAAAACACATTCTTTCTTTGTTTTCAGGTCTGCATCTTCAGCGACTGGCTGGCCCGCACCATGGCCTCTTATTAAACCAGATCCTTCTTCAGCCATCCAACACTGCTGCAGTTCTTCTGTCAGTCTATCTGATCTGATAGCTCTTGGTTTGTGCAGAACAATGTGACACCAGATTTCCACAAATCAATAAAAATCTTAACATCAAACCCCATTTTCTTCTGTGTTGACTAATAATAAAATATTGTTTGCAAAGAGGAAGTCTTTGTGGATTTTACTTCTAAATCAGGAATATTTTGTCCCTGTTGGATGATGCACTGCTCCTTTGCAATGTTTTAAAATCAAAACATATTATGTTTATATTAATATTAAACTAAATTGTTAATTTGGGACATTTAACACTAAAAACCTTTTGACACTGTGGCATAAGATGCGATAAGATCCCCATCAATCTCACTCTAATCACAAATGTGAGGCTGCCTCAGAGGAGGGAGAGGGCGGACTCCAGAAATCATCTTATCGTCATCAAACTGGTTGGCTCACTATGTGAGTGTTGCTTGTGAAACTGAGTTTGTTGCGGCTCCTCGGACTGATGAAGTCCTTTGGATGAAAGACGAAACATTTCAACAACAAAAAATGAAACTGTCCAGAGGACCTGACTGAACTTTGTTGGATTTTTTTACCTGGAGTATTGAGCATGAACTTTGATGGATGGATGGATCTTAAAAACTGCTCCCTGAAAAATCAATAATTACATTGCTTGTTTTTTGTTTTGTTTTGTGTGTTTGTGTGTAGATGGTGGTTGAGGGGGGGGGGGGGGGGGGTGGTGGGGAAGGGGGGGGGGACACCCCGAAAAGGTCTCCAGTTCATCACAGGGACACATAAAGACAGACGAGACAAACAACCATTCACTCTCTCACTCACACCTAGAGATAATTTAGAGTTACCAATCAGACTAACATGCATGTTTTTGGTTGGTGGGAGGGAACCAGAGTACCCGGAGAAAATCCATGCATGCACGGAGAGAACACGCAAACTCACCCAGAAAGGCCTCCGACTAGGATTTGACTGGGGCAACCAGCTCACTGAGAGGCAGCAGCTCTACCAACTGCGCCACCGTGCTGCCCCTCTATTAGAACCTTTGATGACAAAAAGTTTGCCACTGGTTTCCTACAGTCAGTACCAGTTATCATTAGTTATCATATTAGTCACGTTTTGTTGACTGAGTGTGTCCTGGCTGATTGTATCACATTTTATGTTCAATGTATAAATGACCTTGACCTAAAAGAAGCCCAAGTTAGATGACTAGTAAAGGCCTATGCTTTGGTTAGCTATATTCAGCAACTGAGTTGTGAAACCGACCATCTGCTGAGCAGCGATTATGTCAGTGATGATGAACAGGATATGCTGAACGTCTTGTTACACATCAGGTGTTATTTGATTTGTAATGTATTGCAGCAAAGATGTGAAGGGAAATGCATTCACAGGCAAAAAAGAAAACCAGGATCTGTTTTTTATAATTACAATTAATTAGCTTATAAATCATTTGAATTCCTGAAGGCAACCCTTCAGTATGTAACTATTTATTTTTCCAACATTCTACACTGTTTAATTTAGGATTCTGACAGGTCAAAGATAATGGAAGATGGTGACAGCAGAAAAGCTAATAAATACCTTCGTATAAAAACCAGAGCTGCAGGTAAAGTCCTCTCAGCAACAGGATGACTCAGCAGACATGAGGTGTGTGAGGTGCACAAAATCTCTGTTTTTTGACTGTTTCTAGCTGCTTTGTTTCTTGGAAAGCACAACATCCAGATCACTGAGGGATCTGAGCAGGTCATCATTCATCCAACCTTTATTTAGACAGGTAAATCCCATTGAGCCTGGAGGACTCATTTACAAGAGAGACCTGATTTCAACAAAGAAAGATGACAACAATGGACAACAGCAACAACAATAAACAGTTATAAAAAGTCATACTCGAGGTTTTTTTTTTTAAACAAATAAGATGGCTAAAATAAAGAGGTCACAAAAAAACAGCTACATTCTAAGGCGAATGTAGAAAACTAAAAACAGGAACATGTCTGCATTGGTCCCTGCCAGGAGTCCAACAGATTCTTAAAGCCACTTAGAGAGGTCATGGTCAAGAGCTTCAGATCTTTTTGTAAGATATTCCAGGAAACAGGAGCGGAGTAGGAGAAGGTCCTTTTGCCTAGTTCAGTCCTCATTGAGGGAACACTGCAGGTAATAATGTCCTGAGAGCGCACGTTGTAGCTGCACTCACGCAGAGACATGTAGGAGGAGATGTATGAAGGCAGCAGACCAAGAAGTGATTTAAAGATGAAAATGTACCAGTGGGAGAGTCTGTGTGAAGTTAATGATGTCCAGTTAACCAGTGAATACTGGGTGCAGTGGTGGGTACGATAATCACAGCCAGTTATGAATCTTAGTGCACCGTAATAGACGAAATCCAACATCTGCAGGGTTCTTGTAGGAGCGTTCATGTAAATAATGTCACCATAATCAATGGAGGGAAGGAAAGTTACAGATACAAGGCGTTTCCTAGCATTCAGGGTTAGACAGGATCTGTTTCTGAAAAAGAAACCCAGTTTAACTTTCAGTTGCTTTACCAAGTTTTCCACTCGAAGCTTAAAAGAGAGATGTGAGTCGACCAAGATACCCACATATTTATAGGAATCAACAAACTCAATGGGGACACCATTTGAGGATAAAATCGGAGGAAGAACTGCTGGGACCAATTTCCTATTTGAAAAAAAGCATCCCTTTGTGCAAAAAAGTGCAAAAGTGCAGCACAATAATCCTTAGCATCCAGTGCTTGAACGATGTCATTAAGAACCTTCAGTGAAGCAGTCGTTGTGCTGTGTTGCTTCCTGAAACCAGATTGATGTGGAGGTAAGATGTTAAATGAGTCCAGGTAATTTTTGATTTGAGAGTTCATCAGTTTTTCTAGAACCTTGGCTAAAATGCAAAGAGATTGGCCGATAGTTGTTCAGTGAGGTGGGGTCACCTCATCACCTCATCAGCTCCTCTCAAGTGATCCGCCACAATAACTACGACTCCTACACCATTGACAATGAGATCATGCTGATCATGCTGAGCACCCTCAACCAGTCCGTGCAGCCTGTGGCTCTGCCCAGTGGCTGTGCTCCTGCTGGAACCACGTGCAAAGTCTCTGGATGGGGCAACACCATGAGCTCCAGTGAGTGCTGAAAGAATACTTTATCATTTACATGTATTTGTTTTATATATAATTATTTCATTCATACTTTACAGTTTACTTAATCACGCACGCTGATACTTTAATTATAGAAATTTATAGTGCCATAACTACTTTTTATTATAAGCCTGTTGAAAGGCATCCTCCCTATGTCTGCCAGTATGTCTGTAAACTTTCTCTTTTTCCACCTATAACTTCCGATTCACTCAAGATAGTTTAACCAAACTTCATGTGCATATGCATCCTCATTACACATAATATCACAAGTACTTTTCATCAGCCCAGCTTGAAGTTCAAGGTCACAAATCAAGGTCAAACATTATACAAGGTATTCTGGGCTTTTGCTGCATATGTTCCCCGTGTCTGCGCATTGTCCTGTATGACGTTCTGGTTCTGTCTTCCTCCGTGTCATTCCAGCGATTATGTAAATTTGCTGCATGTCAGCTGTTGTTATTTCATTTATTAAAATATATATATTCTTCATTTAATCCTGAGTTCTTCAAGTCCGGCCTGCACTTGAGTTCTACCAATCAACAGAATCTTAACATGTGAATTTGTATGATTACAAAAATAAGTATGATGGAGTGTCTTTCTTTTTTTTCTTTTTTTTTTTTTTTTGTATAAAATAAAAAATGAAGGGGGAAAAAAGAAAAATCAAGCAATAAAAGCCGAATATGAGTCCAAAAGCATATTGACTCTAAAGGCTCTGAGCTGAGTGTAATAAAGAGCTTCAGGGTTTTGTTTCCTGAGGTTCTGCTGTGCAGAAAAAAAAAAAAAAAATGCTGATGGATTGTTTGCTTTGTTTTGTTTTTATGGCCCAGACTTATTCTCACAGCTCATGTTGAAATAAAAATACATCAGCATGAATATTTTGTTGCATTCCCTCCTATTTTAAACTTGACTTGTCTCTTACAGAAAGGGAGACCTACTTAAGATTGTCTAACCCTTTTCTGCTACAGCAGTTTCATCCTTTTGTTCAGGTAAAACTGGCAGTTTTGTTAGACATAATGATGATAATATAATAATAAAGACGAAAAAATATTTAATAAACATAAATTGGCTACCTAAATAATTAAATGGGCTAATAATATATAAAGCAAACCATAAAAGAATAAGCAAATACCCTCAACAGTGCACTAAAAAATAAGAACTTATATGAATAAATGTATTTATTGCTATTTCAATTATTATTATTATTATTATTATTATTATTATTATTATTATTATTATTATATTTATTATTAGTAGTAGTAGTATTCATTGATTTATTTTTACGATTGGGTTTCGCGATTTTTTTTGCTTCTGGCGTTAGCGGAACTATTGTTTGCTAGTTTCATGACCAGGTCGGACATATTTGATAAGGACACTGTCAATGTCAAATAGGAAAGTTGACGCTAGCATAACAGTTCTATAATTACGTCGCCTGCTGTATTTTCCTTGTAAAAAAAGGTCGTTTAAACAGATCCTTCGGTTAAGTGTTCGTTAGTTTTCGGCTGCCCGGTTGTTTTTCTCGGACTGTACCCGCTGAAGTGACCGGACAAGATGCGCCTCACGCTGCAGCTGCTGATCTCTCACGGCCGGATGGCCCGCAGGATGGGTCTGGGCCCAGAGTCCCGGCTCAACATGCTGCGGAACATTCTGACCGGACTCGTCCGACACGAGAGGATAGAAACCACGACGGGCCGAGCCGACGAAGTCCAGTTCTACGCCGAAAAGGTAAACTTGAGGTCTCCTGTAGCGCCTCTTGAATTCTGACAATTAGTCTCTCATGTTTTACGCTTTGTTTAAACTATATGTCAACCCTGTCTGTTAGTAAAATATCTCATAAGCCACTAATTGAATTTTGATGAATCTCCCAGAAAGTCTAAATTATGAAATTTAGTTAGCCCAATTCAAGATGGCCACTTCAATGCAAAAATGGCCCTAACACAGTCAATTTAACAAGATTAATATATATATATATATATATGTATGTGTGTATATATATATATATATATATATATATATATATATATATATAGTGTGTATATTATTGTTGTAGCTTAGTATCATCCTTATTGTTGTAGCTTAGTATCATCCTACTCTGAGCTCTTCACTTGACGCATGTTTGCTTAAAACTTGGAAGTGTTAAAAGTCAGCACAGTTGGTCTGTTAGCAAAATATCTCATGAATCACTGGACAGATTTTAGGGAAACTTTCAGTAAGTAATCATTGTCTATACATCTGAAGCTCTTCAACATATGGAGTCACCCAAATTTAAGATAAGACGCCTTGGCTAATTTCCCCCACTTGATCCATTTCATCCATCCACCAACAAAACCACACATGAGGCTGCTGTTTCATACATTTAACATGCCAGACACAATTTAAGGTGCCAAATGCACAGGAATTCACAGAAGAGAGTTCGGTACAAATTCTGAGCTCTGGAGTTTTAACGTGGCCCACTTGTGCTCAGCTGTTCTGAGACTACAGGGAGACCCCCCCCCAGTCAGAGGAAACACGCCTCCATCACTTCAAGGTTCTGGTCAAGCGATCAGAACTTGGTTCTCCTCCTTGTGAAACCTGCTGCGATTCTCCTCACTGTGAAGTTCCTTCTTAATCTGCCTGAAGACGACCCACGAGCTGCGTCTGTGGGTGGAAATTAGCATTATGAGCCCCACCGTGTTCTGAAAGACTCTCCACTACTACCACTTCAATTTAACCTAAAACTGATTGAAGTGTGGCCATGTTTGTCTTGCTAATGTCAGTTAGCTGTGGCAGCCATCTCGAGTTTTGATTGAGTCCAGAAGTTTATCAGTTGTAGGTGAACAGCTACAACTGGCTTTGAGTTTCACTGGAATTTGACCAGTTGTTCATTATATTTTGCTAACAGACAAAACAGGGTTGACTGTAACAGTTGATGCTAAAAACTTAAGCAAATTTCTTGTGCAGTGAGTTGCACTTGGAGTATGTATTATGGATGAATCTCAGCTTTGCTCCTGTAAAATTGCCGTAGTTACAGCCATTTTCGTGTATTCTAAGGTCAGTTGTCTGTGGCAGCCATCTTGAACTGTACAGGTCAAGTTTCAGTAAAGTCTGTTGAGTGGTTTTTGAGATGTTTTGCTAACAGACAGACTTGACTCGAAGGGCAGAATTTTAAACCTCGATCTTATGTAGGATCACTCTCAGCTACTACCACCAAATCTTAGGTTAATGTTTGTAAAACTAATTTTAGAAAAAAAATGTATTTTCTAAGTTGGCTGTGGCAGCCATCTTGATTTGAATGACTCCAAACATGAATCAATTGTAGATGCACATCCAATTATTACTTTCTACAAGTTTCATTAAAATTATTTATGACTGATGGGAGATTTACTCACAAATACACACTGATGGGACACATCGGAGGCAATGAGGGGTTCAGTGTCTTGCCCAGGGACACTTCAGCATGTGACAACTGGTGGAATCGAACCCCCAACTCTCCCACTGAAGGACGACTGCTCTAACCACTCAGCCACTGCCGCCCCATTATTGTCCATTTTTGTCCTTCAGCAATAATAATGATTGATAATCAAAGAGCAACAACCAGGTTCAAATTGATCTGAGTTTAGTGAGAACTCGGAAGCTACAAGTTAGGAACCGAGGCGCCTCCTGACTTTTACTTTCATAAAAATAATTTCAAAGCTACTTTTGCTTGGCCTGTTTAGCATTAGTGTATGTAGATCGGTGACATAGAGAGTATTATTTAAAGAAAAACTGTATAAATGAATCATGGAAAAAATGTGAGTGCACGTCTTTGTTTGACTACTGGTAACAAAGAATCTGTTCCTCATGTGTGATTCCTCATCTTTAATTAGATGTTCTCTCCGTTTTGTTGCATTTATTTATTTTTGATGAGTCGGTCTTATAAATATTTACACCGCACAGACTCCCAGTGTTGGTCATTAGACTAAATCCTCATCTGAATGTTCTAGTGTTGCTTGATGTGTGAAAACTACTGTACTGTGTCCCCCCCCCCCCCCCTTCAAAAAAAGTCTGTACTCGCTGAATATTTTTACATAGAACTAGTTAACTGTGCAGCTCGCTCTGATTTTAAAGTGCTTCTGACAGTAGATGCGTTTTTCCTCTTTTCCAGTTGATCGACTACGCCAAGAAGGGAGACACTGATGAGAAGGCGATGAAAATGGCCAGTTTTTGGCTCACGGTACGTGTCTGCAGCTCCTCTCAGCTCTCTGAAGTTACGAGCCGAGCGAATGCAAAACAGCTGATTTGATGTTTACTCGCTTCTTCCTCCCTCCAGGAAAAGGACCTCGTACCAAAGCTTTTTAAAGTCCTCGCGCCTCGCTTTCAAAACCACTCGAATAACTACACGCGGATGGTGCGCATTCCTAACAGAGAGAACCTGGACAGAGCCAAGATGGCCGTGCTGGAGTATAAAGGCAACCCCTTCCCACCACTTTTTCCTGCCAAAAAGGAGAACGAACTGACTCTCATTAACCAGCTGCTCCGAGGCTACAGAGATGAGAAGGCTAACGAGTTAGCTGCAAACCCTAAATGATATCATCATCGTGCTGGATTTATTAATGTTGAATGGTGAAAAAACATTTCTTCAGAGTGAGATTGATGGTAAAACCGGCAGCAGCGGAGGCTTGCGCTCACATTTTCCATAATGTAACTAGAAAATATCTTATTGTGACTTGCTGGGTTGTTTCTAATAAAAACGTCTGACCTTTTTTTACATTTACTATTATAAATAAACAGTAATCCAATAACTTATGACCAGTAGTAGCTCCCATGCCTTCCAAAATATGTTTGTGTTTGAGTTAAGAAAATAAGACGGGAAATGTGTCTGAGCCAAGTCTTGTGATTTTTGTCTGTTTCAAAAGATCGATGTGCAACTAAGGGATTTTTTAATAATAAAAGCTTTTTTGAGACTGAAGGAAAAAAACATTTAGCAGTTTTTTGAGTTACGAAAATTGCATTTTTAGCTCGTTAGTTGGTTTTAATTCCTGGTCCACGACACGTTAAGCTTACAAGCATCATGGCGAGGTGAAAAACAACTGATAAAGAACCTATCAGGAAGTTTGACACTTCTTGTTTTTAACAAACGTACAGAACAGCATTTTGCAAGTTTGGTCCTGATGCAAAAAGTTGGTTTATTGCCCATAAACACTTGAATTTGGACATGGTCTGGTGGTGATGCTTTCTTGACTAAACTCAGTTTGAAATTCATTCAAATGTTGTTTTGTTTGACAGAAACTTGAATAGGAACAATTTGAAAACGGAGCTCATTTGACAGAAATCTGGTTTAATTGTCGCTTTTTAGTCGTGTCATGCAGCCACAAGGACAGACTTCGGGTCAGTTCGTACTTCCAAACACAAGGTTGGCAAATTTAGTGGAAGATGAAAAGTCCTCGAGCACAAGAGGACTGAAATGATAAAAACGGTAGAGAAGTGCTACTCAAAGCACTAATACCGCCTCCAGTCTAGAAACTAAATATCTAAATCTGCCCTCTGACTTGGAACGCCGACAGAAGGTAATGGAATAAAAAGTTGCACGATAAATTATAAAATAATTCTTGTGCTTAAACATTCTTGTCACTACACCCTATTTTTTAACATGCTCATTTTAAATTTGGAGTGTAAAGAACAAGTCAGTGTGGGAGCACAGGTGCAGACCATAATAACACTCCCAACAGCTCGTCAGCATTATTAATTATACCTGTTCCTTCTAAACTACGGCCCGTACATAAAACGCTCTATTATCTTGAAGTACAATAGGTTTTTCTATAGACGTGCGTTATAATATGTATATTTCCTTGCACATTGATTACTTTCCTTAAAATAACCATGAAACTTGTATAAAAACATAAAAGAGATATTTTACACCACCCTGGGAGGGACTTGCGACCTGTCCAGGGTGTACCGCGCCTCTTGCACAGTGATGGCTGGACATGGGCACCATGACCCCCGCGACCCAAAAACGAAGAAGCGGATAAAACATAATGGATGGATATTTTACACCCTATAGCAAAAATATATAATTTACCTGCAAGTACATAATTTATGCGTACTTTATATGGTTGGAAGGAACTGAACTGAAATACTGGCAATGACTAGACCAGTAAGGCCTGCCAGGACCTGAAAGAGCAGGCTGGAGAGACGATCCCCAGAGTGTTGTACTTTAGCAGACCATTAATAATAAAAACAAACTAAATAAATGATTTAAAAGTATTAGATTTACCACTTCTGGACTTGTGCCTTTGCCCCAACTGGAAAATGACCTCAATCAACACAGGATCCATTCCAGACTGTTTAAAGAGGTATCTCCCCTAATTAATATCTCCATTTTGTATGTGTTTAATTTGCTGCAATAAATTATGTACCACAGCACTTCAAGGTTGCTGTAGATATACCTTAATTAAGACGCCTTGATTCAGATTCTGGCCAATTATAGATTTATATCTAGTCTAACATTCATCTTCAAAAATGCTTGAAAAAATAATTGCAAATCAGTGGTGTGAACAAATCTGATGAGTTTCAGTCAGGATTGAGATCATAGCACAGAAACAGCACTGGTGAAATGTCAGGTCATCTGGATGTTTGTTTTTATTTTATTTTATTTTTACTGAGACGTTTCGCCCTTCATCCAAAGGACCTGACCGAACGTTTGTACCTGGCTTACTGAGCATGAACTTTGGTGTTTTGAACCATTTTGGCAAGGCTGCCTCAGAGGAGTTGACGAGGGCGAGCCACAGAAACCTTATTACCAGCAGGTTATTTTTCCACTATGGAAGTGCGGTGGTTGTGGGACTCCAGTTTATTTGTGGCTCCTCGGACTGAAGAAGTCCTTTGGATGAAGGACGAAACGTCTCAGCAAAAATAAAGAAACTGTTCAGATGACTGACATTGTTGGACTAGTACCTGGATTATTGAGCATGAACTTTGGAGCACTGATGAAAGTTACCAATGATATTCTCATGGTCTCTGACAATGGACAGGTGTCTACGCTGGTCCTGTTAGACCTCAGTGCTGCATTTGATACGTTGATCATAATATTCTATAAAAGAGACTTGAATATGATATTGGCATTACAGGAACGGCTCTAAATTGGTTTAAATCATATTTATATGATGGATTCCAGTTTGTAAATGTAAATTGTGAATATTCTTCATACACTAAAGTTAGTCATGGAGTTCCTCAGGGTTCAGTACCTGGACAAATACTCTTTACTTTATATATAAAGTAAAGTATATGCTTACATTAGGTAACGTATTAAACAGCATGGGATAAACTTTCATTGCTTATGCTGACTGTTATATTTGTCTATGAAACTCTATGAATCCAATCAGTTACTTAGATTACAAGCAAATCTTAGACATAAAAACCTAGATGACCCTTAATTTTCTGCTTTTAAACTCAGACAAGGCAGAGACTGTGGTTTTTAGACCTGAGCATCTTAGGAATAAACTTTGTAGCCGTTCACTTTTTCTAGTTTGCATTAATTTGGCCTCCAGTTCTAATGTAAAAAAATGTTAATAACCTGAGGGAGTTTTTCCTTTCCACTGTTGTCTTTGTGCTTGCTCAGAATGGGAGACTGTAACAAAGCGAAGATTCAACACAATCTGCTGCGTCCTTAGATAGAGAACTTTTACTAATTGGCTTTTATAATGTAAGTGTATGTTTTTGTACAGTGACCTGAGGCAGCTTCTGTTGTGACTTGGTGTTATGTGAATAAACTGAATTGAAAATTGAATTAGGATGTAAATAACCAGACAACACCTTAAATAAAACCATATTTTATTATTCATTTTGGCAAAAAGAGTATATGTACAGCGTATTTAGATTTATTTGACACCATTAAAATGCATTTGAATGGTGCTTTAGTGATGTGCTCGTAACCAAATCGCTCTGAGTCTCCTTAAAGCTGTGCTCTTTTCTGTCATGCATACATAATCTAATTTCATTGAGTTCCCTCCTCTAGTCATTGTGTCTTTCCTGTAATTAAACATCAGTTCACACAAGGCTGAAGCAGTGATTCTTTATCAATAAAGCCTGTCGAGTCATGGCAACAGCTGAAATGTCAGACATGCCAAACACAAATCGGACATGTAATCAAAAATAACGATTAGTACTCTTAAACTCAAGTATCGTTCTCCACAGACTAATTCACACCTCTGACTACACCGTTACACATTACGCACCACAGTCTCAACATGACGGCAAGACTTCCACGGACAAATCTGTGGGTTATTCTTCTAAGTCAAGAGAAAACCATGTGTGTTCAGTAAATTTTAACAATTTGAACAAAGCATTAATCGTTTCCCTCTAAAGTCTGGAAAATTGGCGACATCTTCAGTTTGTATTTACATCTGAGTCTCAAAGGCTGACATCACAAATAAACAGACCAGGAACATTAAAGTGCTCCATGCAGGACAGACAAAATGTACAGTTGTGTTGCTCTTTTCACAGTTCATTTACAAGACTTTAAAGTTTTTATCTCATAGCTCAGTACAAAATTGGGGATATTTGTTAAGGTTTTTGCCAAATTACAGTGAGGTGTAAAAAGCAAACAAAACAATCAGGTTTCAGGTACAGGACAGATGTGAGGATGAAGATACTTGTACTGTACCCGTGAAGCAGCCTTCTGCTCATGGATCATTAATGTGCTGTCGATGGAGGCAAAAGTATTAAATAAAAAAACCTACATAGTACTAGAGTAACTTCAGAATCACCGGTCCTTGTGCTGTATTGCATCAGTACATTCACCAACGTCCACACCAACAGATGTGACAAGTTTCAACAGGCATATTCTGCACTTTAGTGAAAATTTAGCTAAAAACAATAGTTTATAAACCTGCTTTATATGGGTTTCAAACAGCAGCGAGACAGCTTTAATTGGAATAATTAACAGAAATAAAAAAATATACCGAATCCTACTGTATGTATTTACAAATCTGAAGTTATAATACACACAATAAGCAAAAATGTGTTGGTCACATGGAGTACTGGTACATACAGCAGTGCTTTTGGACAGAAAATACGATACAAACATGCATGTTTTACAGGTACTGTACTAGAAGGTGCCCACGATAAAAGTGACAGTTTTACAGTTAACACATCAGCTTATCAATCCGGAATAACCAGCTGCACTGAAGGCATACAAGTATAGAAATGAACCCAACAAACTCCATACACCATAAATATATCTAAACTTTATCAAAATGTGTCAAACATTTAAAAAATGTCCATAGATGAATTTTATACATATTGGCATGAGATTTTTCTGTGCTCGCAGCATCAACTAGAATGTAATGAGAAATAAAATAAAAAATAAAAAAATTATTCTTTTCGAAATAAACCTATATAGAATTGATGCTCAGTTTTAGCTATTTACAAGGTTTTGCAGGCACACTGTCAAAACCTCATGAATTTTTGAATGAAAAGATTTCAAGAATTTTGTTCATTTCCACATTGTGCACAGCCATCGTTCTATTGCTCTGACTACATCCACTTTGTCATCTCTCTCCCTGTGTACCTTCAACTGGTCAACATCAAATATTTATTGCTTTATTCTTTTGAAAGCTCAGCATTTGTGTCTCACCTATATCCCCTCATCTCTTCATTTTAAGCATTTCCATTCACATGTAAAATGGACCATTTAGGGATATATTTCCAGTGACATCTCTTTTCTGTCCCTCTAATTTGTCTTTTTTGAGTTACCTTTTTGATACCTTGATTTGTACCGACTGCATTTTCACGGTTTACCCAAATTCTCGCCGCTGTCTTTATGTCTTCACCTTTCTGCCATCGTTTTTTCTTTCCATCCATCTCACGCCTTCGTTCCAAAGCCCGCTCCGCCGCCGCTCTGCATGCTGAAATACTCCGTGAAGGAAGGGAGCCGAGGTGGCATTGAGGGTGAGCGTGATGCTGGGCGTGGGGGTATCGGAGGCAGAGGTGGGGGCAATGTCAAGGTCAAATCTGCTGCGGTGGTGATAATCTTCTGCTCACTGTTCCTTGGCACATCTTGCCCTTTGCGAGCCACTGTCTCCTCCACCGTCTTCACTGGGTCCTTAAAAAAAAGTTTAACCTATTTCACCACTTTCTTTTTACAGTAATGCACAGGATTCATAAAAATAAATATGCATGCTCACAAAAAGAAGTTATGAGCCGAAAACAATCAGATTTTTTAAAATTCACGCGATCTTTATAAATGACACTTGAACCAGAAATGTGGACATGAGTTAAACCGATGATCTGCCCTGTAGTCACTGATTGTGGTCAATAAAAAGCACCTCCAGTGCTAATGCAGACAAATGGATGAGTTGGTATTTACCATTATTCATGGCAATGGATGAGATAAAACCTTTTCTGGCACAGAAAGTGAGCCATTTACTGCCCAAAGAGACACTTTTCCAATTCTCCCAGTTATGTAGCCCTCTAGAAGCTACAGATCATCCATCATGCGGCATTACATGTGTTTGTGTTCAAATCAATCAGACCGATTACGCTTCATTGCCTTTTAGACACGTTGCTTTAAAGATGCTGCCCTTGTAAAACAGTTTTTTGTCTTATTTTCACTTTTGTGCAAAACATCTGGTTTTCTCCTTCATGCTAAATTACTTCAGAACAGCTAATAGCTGAAAAGGCAACACCTACAGAATCAAAAGGTGCCCAAGCAAAACAGTTAAACACAGCAGACATCTTAATTTGGTTGAGTCAGAGTTCCTATTTAAACGTTACTTAATTTCACTCGGGTGTTTTAATACCAGGGCTGTTACATTTTGTAGTGCATCGTTCAAGCGTCACCCCCTGAAGGAGACTCAAGTTTCTGCCGAGCAACAATCATTAAAAACACGCTCTCTTACAAACTCCACTGCTACGTGAATATTCCTAATCTGAGGTGTGTCTGTCAGAGAAGATAAAGAGTTCATTTCAAGCTAGGTTTGACACAGTGACATGCACTTATAACAGCATCAGAAAATAAGTACACCTATTTCAAATAACATAAGTGCAATAAAATGATGGGAATTTAATACTTGTGGCTTAGCATACAATTTGCTTCTGGACCTTTCTTTGCACACATTACATGTAGACTTACTGACTGGATGGAGAAGAGTTCAGTGAAGTTGGGTTGAGAGTCTCCAAGGAAGGAGCTGTTTCCATAAGCATGATGGGGAAACCTTTCTCCTCCTTCACCTCCTTTTGGACTGGACAAGAGAATCCCAATCTGAGATGTTCGAACATGATACGGGAAATTCTTGTTGGCTGCTGATGGTCTTGTAATGACCTAAGACACAAATTAAGTAGTTAAAAAAACATTATATGCATGATCAAAATCAAATAAAATAAAGTCCTGGTAAAAAGAGGCAAGGCGTGCTGTGAGTTCAACCATGAAGCAATATTTGAATGAACAGAATGGCCTAAAGAGCAACGTGCTGAAGGTTAAAAAGTGATGGATAATGATGCGTGGAGACGTTCAAAATGATGCATTGAGGATTCATAAATCATGAATAATGTACAATTGACTGTGATAACAAGTCTTGAATAATGCGAACGTCACAGCTGTGTGCGGCATGTTTGAACACTTGCGTGTGGTACCAACAAGGAAGACGATGTGAGCGTAAAGGTGGATGCCGAGCTGAATGCCATTGACGATCTTCTCTCGAGCCCAACGAGGAATCGCAAAGTTGGCGATCAGAGCCATGACGGGCACTGCAAAAAACCTGAGGAAGAAAAGAGCAGATTCAGGATAACAATGACACAAAAGCACAAAGAATGAACTGATGAGAATATTGTTTGATGAATATGGTGAGAGACGGAGAGCAGGAAGAGTAGAAGATGTAAAGCACAGAGATAATGATGGAAGGAAAATGCAGCGATATTTGAAATGTACCCTTCAATTCAAGCCTCCACTATTGAACATTAGGAATAAAGGGCTGGAAACTAAGAAATGTGTTCAAGAGGGTTTTCTATTGTTGAACAGAGAAAAAACACATAGTGCATATAAATATATAAAAATAGGTATTTTCCTCTGGGTATCACTCAAGTAAATATATCTAACTGAAGTAGAGAACATGGATTGGGTACATGGTGGTTACAGAGCAAAATAAATTATTTAAACAAGTAAGAAAATGTGCATTTCGTTTACTCCTGCAGTTCAGGTGTTACTGCTGCAGCGATGACCGAGTGGGGCCAAGCTGCTGAGGTCTCACCATAATGTGTATGTGGTAAAGAAAGGGACGTAGAAGGGCTGCTTCTCAGGGTAGTGTTTCAGGGAGATCAGCACGGCATAGCAAAACCACACGTAGGCGACCAGCTGCAGGGCCATCAGGCCGTAGCCAGCAGGGCTCTCGTAGACGTAAAGCACTTCACCTGGGTCAAAAAACTGGCACAGAAACATGAGGTGTATTAAAACAAAAAAAAAGTTTTACGCAGAGGAGAGAGAAAAAACATTAAAAAGGTTTTTGGCTTGACATCTAGTTGTAGCCTGTGTCTTATTTCCAAAGACAGATTGCTCATGGTTCAGCTGATTCACTGCGGAGACCGAGCCAAAAAGCCCAGCTTGTTTCATTCTCTTTGTCTTTGACATTGACACTTCTCCACATCTAGGTCACCGGCATGTGTGCTCACAACTTTGTGGGTGTGTGTTGGGCATGCACAGACACGGGGATTGCATTTCGTAATGCTGTGACCAAATAGCACGGGCCGTACCGCGTTACTCTCACTACATAATGCAAAGTGTTGAAAGCTCAGCGGGGAGCTTCTTGGAACACAACCCAGCCAAGCAGAGCCCGATAGAGTCCAAACTGCAGCCCGAGTACCAGGAACACTTTGAAAGTCTCTATTTCAGTTCCACTTGTAACCTAGTTCTGATTATTTTAGGAGTTCCCCTGAGTTTCAACCTCTGTAACAGCAGCTCTAAGAGGACAAGAGGCTGATAAATCATACCACATCAGAACCACAGACTGTGAGAGATGGTTGCGTGCTTCAATGGTAAAAATAGCACAGACAGTTCCACAACACTCTTCTCTTCTAGGATCATTACCAGCCTGTATTCAAAGGCTGTAATCCGCTGTTTTCCAAAAGCAGCGGCTTTACATCTGACTGTGCAGAAGCCTCTGCACTCTTCAGAGATCTACTGTATGTGCTTCTTAAGACTCCAGAGAGCATTATTAATTCAGGAGCTCGTGTGCTCAACAACATAGGTGGTGAAGCGAGTTTCCATCCCACATACAGAACATTACAAAAAAAAAACAGTCTAGTTAATGAGTGAAGGTCTCCAGTAGGCTGATTAGTGCCATCCAGCTTTCCAGTCAGACTTACAGTAGAAACCACTGATCTAAAGTTGAACATGCATCTATTCTGTTTTATTTGTGATTGGGAATATATACAGGTTTTTTTTTTCATAATCCCAATCTTTGAACCCCAAGGAATATATATACATTTTTACATTGAAGTTGATACATTTTTATAATTAGCAGTAAGTCAATGTAATGAGTTGCTTGACAGAAAAAGCCATTACTGCCTACGCACAACCATGGAGCTCATTCTTTCATGAATAGTTATGAGATTATTTTAAAAGCCAAAGAGAGCTTTAACATGAGTGGAGCTACTCTGCTGAGAGCAGTTAAATCAGAAAACTTGCTTCAAGAGAACTGGGGCCTGAGTAAAGGAACAAAAAAAACACTATAAAAATTGGAGCAAATCCTATTCCTACCCGTTTTATAAAAATTTCTACATGACTAGGACTTATTTACATGCCAGGACTCACACTTTCAAAGTATGTGGCACTGGTCTTTCTGAGTGCCCTATGGATATCTGATTAATCTTTGCATGAATGCCCCTGCCAGCTGCTTGCAGATGTTGGAACCTGTCTACCATGGCGCAGCAAGATTCATAACTGGTTGTAACTACCGTACCCATCACTGCACTCTATACTCATTGGTCAGTTGGTCATCATTATCTACACGTAGGCTCTCACACTGGTTTATTTTCATCTACAAATCCCTCCTTGGTCTGCTACCTTCTTATATCTCCTCCCACATGTCACGTCATCAGTGCAGTTACAGCGTGCATTTTCAGGCCGTCATTACCTGCAGTGTGGACTGAACTTAGCAAAAAGGCCTTTTCCTACTCAGCTCCTGCAACAGGAACTGAAGTTGTCCACCTTGATTTCTTTAAGGGGTTTTAAACATTTGATAATGTCAATAGAAACATCAAAGCAAATATCTTCATGTGGTATGAACTTGTTTTATGGCACCCTGATTTTTTGTTTTATAACTCTACTTTTATTTTAACTGCATTTTTACTGCAGTTTACTGTTATTGTTGTCTGCACTTTATATGTTCTGTCTGGAACAGGTCCTGTAGATGAGTCCTCGTGGCTCAATGAGACTAGCCTGTATAAATAAAGGTTGAATGAAAAAATATCAATCAATAGTGACAAGCACTTACCAAAAATGTAATATACATTTTCTAAATCATTAATATTCAAAATTATTTTGATGAGTGAAGTTAAGCTTCAGAGTTTCCAGTCATGTGGCACAGTGGGCACAAAAATTAACCTAAATAAAAGGTCAACAAACTCACAATACCACATTATGCTAATTTCCAATATGTTTAACATCTTCTATGGACACACACTAATGATTAATTAAGTACAGTTTAGTCTTTAGAGCTTTATTTGTTAATCAACACTTGTCTGGATCTAAAAGCTTTCAGGCTGACAGTGATTCATGAACAGCACTTTCCTGACTGAAAAGTGATTATTCCAAGTGATTCTGCTGGACATCTCATAACTGGCCAGAAACAGACAGCCAGACTTTACTCAGTCCGAGATAAATATTTTCCATCACAGGAAATGAGGTCAAGTTGGAGCGATAAAAACCACACAACAAATTTACAGTTCTGTTGATGAAACTCGGGTTTCAAGACTTGGCGACGATTTAGAAAAGTCAAAATTTAGAACAAAAATAAACGAGAACTTTTTACGATAATGATTTAGAAAGACAGAAAATAAAAAGAATGTTGACAAAGAAATGAACCGAAGCAGAAAATGGCACATTCGAGTGTAGAAATGTTTTTATCTGTAATTTCCTGCCCCTCTTCAAAACTCACAGACAAGTAGTTTTAACTTTGTAGGACTACTTAAAATAGGGAGGTTTTAAATACTTCAAATCGCCCTCACTCAACCTTGCTCTAAAATAACTTGTTTTAGTTGCTCCCTGTTAATTATCCTCATTATCATTTTCATTTGTATTATTTTTTAGCACCACCGTGTCTGTAGCGGAGCAGTATAAAAGCTCCATCTGTTTTATTGAAGGAAGAGCGTTCTTGTCCTTGTGGGTTCAGTTTTATTGCCTATAAACAAACTGATTTCACTTCATTCACAGGAGGTCATGTTGTGGTTTTCTGCATCAGAAGATTCTGCCAGAAAGACCGAGATTTAAATAAAACATAAGCCCTGCCTTATTGCAGCTATCCTTCAGTAGATTTGTTCTCCCTGGCCTTTCTCTGTGGACTTCTATTTGTTTTGGCATTATCACAAACTGAAAGCAGCATTCCAGATAATTCCATTTCAGCCTGAAGTCCTGTGTGGTTTTTGTGGTTTACACGCTGCTCACAAAGTTACTTCCCAGCTTCACATGCTGAAAGCATTGCAGGTTAAATTAGACTGCATTTAATTCAACTTTAATTAACTTGTTTACTTTTCTCTGCAAATTGCCCCGAGATGACCTCTGTTGTAATTTGGCTCTACATAAATAAAATTAATTTAACTGAACTGAGCCGGAACGCTGTTAGGAGTTGTTGAGGCAGGAGTTTCCTTTGGAGCTTCCTTTTAAAATATGGAATTGAGATTTTTTTTTTAAATTTTTTAGATCATACCATTTTTATTCTCTCAGACAGATCTCTTGTTTTTGCCATATGGAAAACAAAATTAGAAACATTAAGTCTTGTGCTTTTTTAAATCTGCATGTATTTATTACAATATTCTAAATTTTAAGCTCACAATTAAAGGATGATAATTTACAGACCAACTCTATCAAACAGCATCATTAGGAACAATTATTTCATTTCATTAGTTACATTTCATAAAAGAACAGTATCAAGTTATTATAATTCAGTGGTTCAGCTGCAGTGTTGACTATATTCAGTACCTCTGCTTCGTAGATGAAGAGGATGACGTAGGTAATTGTGTAGATCGTCATGTAGATGCTTAATTTAACAGACCCGCTGTGGCTGATCCTCGCCCTGACACACAGGGACAAAGCAGAAAGGTCAGAGGTTGAACACGTGTTGACGGAAGATAAGAAACAAACACACACCTATAAACTCAAATGCACAGAAAGAGATAAAGATGTACACAAACACAAAATTATTCATTCAAGCTCAAGCAGATAGCTACTAAACATAACAGAGCAGCAGAATCATGAACAAAGCAATGAAGGAAATTCATGCATTTTGTTTGCAACAGTTATCAAATGTTAGAATTCCAGCATTACATCCACAACTTACCCCTACATGAACTTATTCAAATAATACATATAATTTAATAGTTTTTTTTCTAGCTGTAATCTAAATCAGGTAAAACACATTTAGCTTGCTGTTCATGTAGTTTTCAGTTTACATCTAAACCTAGATGCAATCCTAAAGTTAAAACATATTAAAATCTTGTTCAGGTTTAAGCTTAGTCTGTTTTTTAGAGATTCAACTGGAAAGTGAGTTAAAATCTTCAACCTCAGCTGTGACAATAACTCAACACAACCAAAACTCAAAACTGCAGAATACATTTCAAGGTTTTATTGTTTGGGAAAGTGTAATAGTTTAACTGTGCGTCTTTTTTTCTAACATAAAACTGAATCTGAAAATAATGTGAAGGGAACATGGCATGTTTTCTCCAGTTTACAAAATGAAACTAGATTTTGAGAACTGGCACGGCGAGTGACAGCTGAGCCTGGAGAGCAATTTTTTATTTATTTTTTCCCCAGTCAGGTGTAGGATTGATAACTGCTGATGTTCCAGTGAAAAAGAAAAACAGGCTCTCATAAATAATCCATTGTGCAGTCTAGCTGCCAGTCCCAAACAAATGACCAGTAAGCCTTGCCAGAGAAACAACAAACCCAAATAATTCCACTCTCAAAACCCCACAAAACAAGCAAAGGGCACAAAACAGCCACATTGATATGTTGCATCCTTATTTTACTTCACACTATAGATTCAGCACAGATGTTTTGATTGACACATGGTATTGTCACATCATGTGACACCAAAACACCCACAGATTGTGACAGGCATGTATGAAAAGACAGAATATGAGCAAGGGAACAGATGCATAAAACAAACGCATGCATGGAAATAAAATAAAGCACCTGGTGACAGTGAAACCTTTGCCCAACAAAATGAGCATCAGGAGGAACACCAAGAAACTGACTGAGAACAGTAATTTCCCTGGAGACAGACAGAGAGGTTGAGAGAGAGGCAGGGAAAAAAGAAACAGAAGACAGAAGGGGTAATTAGGTTGTGGTTTCCGAATCTGAAAAATCAGAGGGGAACAATAAAATCAGGTCAGCATACACATATTGTACAGCCCCTCTCCACCCAAACACACACTCACATTCACACAGAGTCACGCAAGTCATGCATGATCCTGCCTCCGCCCATCAAACCAGCCATTTCATTTCTTCAGGCTCACATACATCTATCATCGTTCACTAATCCAATCTGCCCGAGCAGAGCGTGATTTTCCAATGCAGAGCCGGTGTCAGTCATTCAGCCAGTGACCGGTTCGGGAGGAACTCACCGAGAATTTTCAGGCTGAAATTGCCAACTCCATCTCTGGCATACAGACCCCAGTAGACACAATGGAACAACAGGCTGAACACTGCCAAGAGGAGAAAGAGAAAAATGAGTGGGAGAGAAGAAATGGGGAAAGACAGGAGAAAGTAGGAAGGAAGGCAAGGATTGGGAAGATAGGTGAGCAGGCATCGGGGGGGACGGGGGGGGGGGGGGGGGGGGACCAGATGAAACATGGGAATAAAACAAAGAGACAGAAAGATGATAATGAAAGAGAATTAAGAAAAGAGAGAAATGGGGACAAAAGAAGTGAGAAACGAAAGTAGAGCTCACAAAAGGAGGCTTGAGAGAGACGGGAGGAGAAGGTGAGAAGGGAATTTAGAAAAGGCAGAAGAATCGAGAAGGGATTTGGAGCGGGGACAAGCAAGCGAGGAAAGAAAAATGTGATAAGGAGTTGAAATAAAGCAGGGAGAACAGGATGAGAAGAGTGATGGGAGATTGGGTGGGGGGGGTTCATCAGTAAGAACACGCTTCACTGAACACTAAGTGCAGCACGTCTGTTAGCAATAGTTCCATCTCAAAGTCTAACAAACTTGATAATATCTCTTCTCTTGAAGTGTAGATTTAGGTAGAAGATGCTGCAGCAGAGTAGGAGGCTCTTTGTCATCGTGAGTGTGTGTGTGTGTGTGTGTGTTTCAATGAAACACGCGTGTCTCTGTTCAGGACAGAAACTCTTACCCTCCACACCTGCTGCCGTCATAAACATTTTGTAGGTTGTGTGAAGAAGCTGTCGCCCCTTTAGGTTGTCTAGATGGAGAAAAAAGAAGACAAGAATTAGGTGACAGAGGTGTGTTTGTTTGTGCACGGCACGCACATGCGTGCTAGAGAGAGCAGAGATAAAAAGGATGAAAATATACTAACAGATGGTGAAGGAGAGCAAATGCGGTACAGAACACCAGAACAAGGGAAGGGGCCAGATGAACAGGGAGAGTAGTCATTAGTATGCATCCATCTTGTGCTGGCCATCTCCAGATGAGGCCTAATACGTCTCCTCTGTTACGACTACCTAATCCGAGAGGAAATATTCCTAATGCATATTTAAGCAGGCTATTTTCCTACCAAACAATTCAGCAAACAGTGGTGGCCAGTGAGATAGTGCACCGAGGAAATGCAAGGTTGCATCTTCAATTTGCAAGCACAGATTTTACTGAACAGGTGCTGGTTTGTAAATGATGTCACCACTCAAAAACACCTCAAATAAATAAAGAATACATACATAAATTTATTAATTTATGTGTCGTAACTTTTCAAACCTACTGAAAATACAGTCTCACGTCCTTTTTCTTGTTTTTTTTTTTTTTAATTGCTGACTATTCTTTTGAAAATAATTGAAATTAAAAACATTAGCTTCAATTTCAATAAATTTCCCTTAAATCAGAGAAAATGAATGGTGAAAAAATACCACAATTTATTTGCAGTAATAAGGTAAGTATTTTAAGAGGTTTTTTTTATTATTTCCTTGAAGGCCACAAAAAGTATTACTAAGCAATCGACTGGTTTGCATTTATAAAACATCTTTCAGATGTTCCCTCTTCAGTGGTCTCCACAGCAAATCATCCTCCTCCACCTCACTTTGTCCTCTGCATCCTCTGTCCTCACTCCAACTACCTCCATGTCCTCTCTAACTGCATCCATATATCTCCTCTGTCTTTTTCCTGGCAGCTGCATTTCTAACATCCTTCTACCAATATACCCACTGTCCCTCCTCTGGACATGTCCAAACCATCTCAGTCTGACCTCTCTAACTTTTTCCTCCCAGTCCCTTTATCTCCCCTCTAGTATATGAAACGCAAGGTTCACAAATGGACTAAAATGATGGAAATTTGATCATCTCTCTTATCACAACTAGCACAAATTGAAAAAAGTCAAAGAATTATAGCAGAAAATTATAATTCTTTGGGGGAAAACATTTAAAGCATGTTAAATAGGGAAAAAAGTACAACATTTGTATCAAGACAACAATGATGCCACCCATGAGTCAGTGAGAGGCTGCAATTTCTTGCCGTTTAGTAGTGACAATACATCCTTTTTAAAATCACAAGTATAACCAGCTGGAAAAATGTCGAGAAAAAACATGCAAAACCCTTTAAATTAGGGATGCACAATATTGGATTTGTGGACGATATCCGATTTGCCAATATGTTCAAACTTATTTGGTCGATAACTGATACCAATACTGATATTTTTCCCCTAGACCTACTTACAGAGACTACATACCTTTCTCTGCTGTGGAATTAAAATACTACATTATTCTGCATGGTCTTTGTCAATTTGGCCTGC